CTTGAACTTTTTCAACGTGGTTCTGTATGATTCCCACGGCCCGGCTCAGTGGTTGATTGATTTGAAAGGGAAGCCTTTACAGGAATATCTGCTTTTCCTTAAAAGGAAAGCGACTAGCTTTATTTCATCAAGTTCCAGAAACCTGTACTCAAGGTATCGTAGTCTCTGACTGATGAGGGCGTCATATTCGCAGACTGTATACTTAAAAGTTTCATCTACTTCATTGCTGAACCTGCATTCTGTCCATTACTGAATCCGAGGTGGAATCTGACCACCCAGTGGCCCGCCAGGAAGCCTGTGATGGCTCTAAGTTGGCTCCTGTTTAGTTTTAGGAGGCTTTTTGCCTCGTTACAGTTTGAAGGACCTGATCTTGGTGTTCACCAGGCAGGAAGCCTGTGCTGGCTCTGGCCCAAAAAAGGCAGTGTTTGTGTGGCTCCACGATCCAGCTGGTTCGCCTACTCATTGCCTTTTTTGTCTCTGTGGCCCGGGACCCAAGCAAAGGTGACCTTAGTGAGTCCACTGAGTAGTTCAAGGGTTGTCATACATTCAACCTTAGCCTTGAGTTGACCTTGTCGGAGCAAAGGACTCGGATTGCTGCCTGACTGTCGCTGCATATATAAATATGCTTGCCCTAGTAACCTCTCTGGAGATTTTCCTGAGCACACTCCTGTATGACTTGGATCCAACGACATATTAGCACAGATAGACATTACAGTAAACAAAATTTTGTATCGCCAACTAGGAGAGCAATGCACCACAGGTGTATCCCCTCCAATTTGGTAGCCAAATTATTATGGATTGATATTTTATCCTGTCATGACTTTGCTTCAAAAAATTAAAGGTTCAAGACTCAAAAAGACTACTTGGGTCGCTGGTTCTGTAAGGCAGGCGGAACATACGCTGCAATCGATTGGCATGTCAACGCGCCTATCAAACTTAAATCATATGAGTTAGAGGCAGACAGATAGATGAACAAGTTGCACCCGTGCACATTTCTCCATTATTTTAGTCAAGTGAATGACGGATTTAGGGGCGAATACGAATCTTGTTTGCACCACTGATGCATCCCTACCATGACGCCCCTCGAGCAGCTGTCCTGGCCCATGGGGGGTCTTATCATCACAACAAACATCAGATGTCATTGCGTGGATCTCAGTCTGATATACCGTTGGGTATCGACCCAGTTCAAGACTGAATCTTGCCACTGGTCTCTCCATACATTACACCAGCTCCGGCACCCTCTTCCATGAGAAACCCGTCTGTGAGCCAGATAAGCCTTCGGCTTGAGGAAGCTTGAGTGAGGCTCTGGTCTTGTCTGATGGTGTCAGTCGAGGCCCTTGTATGTTACATATTCAGTCTTCTATGAACCCATTGTTCCCAATCGTTGAGTCTGACTAAAGCCTCTCGGGCCTATGCCTCCACAAAGAGATGAGGAGGCATTACTCTTAGTATGGGCTTCATTGTGAGCCTTGGGATGGTTCTAAAGGCCAATTATAGCCATGCAGGCAAGTCGGATTTTCTACAAACCTGACAGCTAGTAGTGACTCTCTGGAAGACCCTGTTGTCTTGATCCTTCCAGGTCAGCCTGGAGTCGATGATGACTCCTTGATATTTGATAGAACCGGATGGAGGAACTCTCAATTCAAAGAGAGTGAGCCCTTCCATGCCCACGTTCCTCCGCTTTGTAAATGGTTGTACTTCAGTCTTGTCCGGATTCACCCTAAGCCCCTATTATAACACCATCTTTTAAAATATTTGCATGTAAGAAATTGAATGTCAATCATTCACGAAGTATTTTCAATACCGTTCGAATATGGGATATGGTTTGTTGGAGTCGTTAGAACCACGAGGATTCCAAATCTCTGGTATTTTCTCACTCTTTAAACCTATTAATAAATTTTTGAAAGGATAGTCACTTTTCCATCTTCCAGAATTTCAGCGGTCACTCTTCCGGGATTTGGTAGATTGCCTTCTCTATCTCAAATTTTTCGGAACGAAGATTTTCCTGTTTTCGCTGGTTGGGATCTTGCTTCGAACTGTATAATTAGTAGAAGTTTTCCACAGCTGAAACGATTTTGTTTTTGTTCATTTTCTATGTTCCATTAAACTTATGGAACCTCTCTTAATTTTTAAGTGATTCAGATTGAGGCTACAATTTAAATATGGCAACACGGGTTTGCTGGCAGTCATATATGGCTGAAATTTGACATGCGTCATAAGTGAGTATTGACATTTACGAATAGGCAGCGGTATTCAACATAAGAATGCATGATGCTAAAACCTATTTCCGAAATGGAGAAAATGTAACTAACACGATTCGTGCATCACGAAATGACTTCGGTAACTATAACCATCCATTTCGTACCGTGGTTAACAAATTGATTCAAGAAACTGTCAAATTTTTGAATCAATTTGTTAACCGCGGCACGAGATGGACGGTTAAGGTTACCGAATGAGTAAGTCATTTCGTAATGCAGGAATCAGGTTAGTTACATTTTCTCAATTTCAGAAATACGTTTTTTAACACTTAAAATGCATTCTTGTATTCAATATCGCTCTATATTCGTAAATGTCAATACTCACTTATGGCACATGTCAAATTTTAGTCATATATGGCTTTAGGTTTTATCATTATGCATTCTTGTGTTGAATACCGCTGCATATTCGTAAATGTCAATCCTCAATTATGACACATGTCAAATTTCAGCTATATATTGCTGCCAGCAAACCAGTGTTGCCATATTTGAATTGTAACCTCTGAATCACCCGATACGTTTAAACCAATACAATTTTCCTTTCTTCGATTTACTTCAGAGAGCTCTCCATGCGATCTTCTCAAGTTTCAATTATTGTTTGCCTTCACAAAAATCCTTTACTTCAATCGGATAATTAGTGTGGAATTCTGGACATTTAGTCGTAATCACCTTGTGTTTGTACTAAGTTTCTTAGTTTTGCGGTCGTCATAATGTTCAATTGAGGGATTTTGGCGAAATGTTCCTTTGCGAAGCGAGGTCGTAACAGTAGGTTTTGAGTTATTCATTTAGTTGCTGTTCCCTCGAGATAAGGCTGAACCTTATTTTTTTCGGAGTTTATGCACCACTTAGCCCTGTGATGAAATCTTGTCTAATATTAATAGTGTAACAGGTAAAAGAGTGAAGCTATTTTATAAATATTTAAATAAAAAAATGAATGTAAATACTATACATAAAAATATGAATTTTTAAATAAACAACATAAAAACTGTTTGATATTTACACTTGTGAAAGATGAAAGAATACAGTTTCAGCTACATTCTACCAGCAGGCAAATATAACACCAGAAAGGTGAAAGTTATTGTTTGGGCAACCTCAGGGTCAAATTCTGGAATTTTATTTAAGGGGCATGTACTGAACGTAATTCAGTATCAGATGAATTATGTAAGATTTGCCTAAATAGTAAAAAGTGCAACTTACATGTATACAAGTGTTATCTTCAAATGTGTGAAAATTCAGAAGCTCTTATAGTGGAATTATCTACATGTTTGGTTTCACTGTAGATCCAGACAGAAGCAGTTTTGTTCCAGACTATGGTGTGGTGAGTGAGTCCTATGGAAGTCCTATCCACGTTTTATCTGTTTAACGTAGAACTCAACGTGGTTCTTTTAGAGTGGTACCAAAAGGATTGCTGAAGGGAAGCTACCAAAGCCCCAATTAAGAGCAATCTAGATCCAGCCTAGAATCGCTCTAGATATAGCCTAGGATCCTCTGGATACAGCCTAGAATCCTCTAGATACAGCCTAGAATCCTCTAGATACAGCCTAGAACCCTATAACGATGTTCGTATAAAAAAAAAACAGATCGAGCCCCAAACATTAGAAATAATCTTACCTCTAACTGAGGGATGCTCTAGGCCAAAATTGAAGTCTTGAACTTCCAAAAGCTGCTCGAAACGATCCTATTGAAGAAATGAAACACGTGTTGTAGGTTAAAAATCCTGAAGAAAATCTCAAAACTTACCGAAACAAAATCCAAAATGACCAGGGGACAACTGTAGACAATTATCAACAAGAAATTAGTCTAATTTGAGTTTCCTTGGCACAGAATTCCAAAAAGTATTGCCCAAAAATAATTAGAGCCAAGACCGGACCTCACAGCATGAGGTCTCAAATCAAAAGGGGAGATTCTTCCTCTTCTAATTATGACATTGGTGAAAATTGAGAAAAAAGCGTGTTAAGTTTCATCCCAAAAATACAAACTGAAAAGTGGGTCGTGTATAAATGACTCCAGATAACCGGTGAATGTTGAAAATTGCCTATAGAACCTATATCAAAAAATAGAAAGAAAACGCCTAGACAGCGACAACTGTTCAATGACAGATGAATAATGAAACTGAAAAATCGAAAAAAGTAAACAACAAAAACTATCATAACCTCAGATTATTTATTGATGGGATTTGCCAACAGAGTCGATGGTACTCTCTCCTTTTTCTAAGATTCTCAACTTGCTAGATTACAATAAAATAATCAAAATAAACAGTGATTACAACCGGTGATTACAATTAAAAACACCTGAAATATAATAAATTTACATGCTTAAAATAATAATAAAATGAGAAAGTAGCTTAATTGCTACGTACGGCGAATACGGCGATGCGAAGTTCTGTTGTACGCACTTTCAGATTATTTTACAAATACATTTTTATTTCAAATCCTAGAAAAAAATTATTCAAATTGAAAAGATTGCAGCAAATATCCCTTAAAAAATAAAAAGGTTATTCCTTTTCCTCAAAAAGAATATTACGTTCAGTTCAACAAATATTTAGCACAACACAAACCTTTCAAAGCGTTTTTCTTTTTTCGATATTTTCCAGGAGCGCTCCACAAAGCTCCCAGAGACTTCCAGGGGCATATTTTTAATAAATTTCTTTCCGTTCTATTATAATAAATCTTCCAGAAAAAGGACTTTTATGGCGGATAATATGAAGAAATGTGTATCGCATAGTAATAAATTTTATTGTTTCAGGGAGCCTCCTCTAGCTTAGTAGTAAAATTCGCAGATACGGAAAAAGAAAGACAATTAAGACGCATGCAGCAGATGGCTGGAAACATGAGTCTTCTCAATCCCTTCGTTTTCAACCAATTTGGAGCATACGGAGCCGCGTACGCACAAGTAAGTTAATTTGTAGATGTTGTAGTAGAATTAATTCTCATCAAAATTTTGGCTAGAAAACCATCTTCCATGAAAACGATGAGTATTGATTTTGTTAGATAAAATAAGACTAGTTTTAAGTGCATGCAAGGCCCCTACACAAAGCCACACAAAAATCCACTGAAAAAAAAATAGGGTGTCCCTGAAAAAAGTTTTCTTACTATTGCGTAGGTTCTTGATGTAAAAGTTTGGGAAAACGGCAGATGGCAGTCAATGCACCAACAAAGATTGGAAGAGAACGTAGCTTCCCAATCCACCCCCTTTATAGCCGAGCTAGATTACCAATCGGTAGGTTTTTTTTTTTGGGGCTTTTTTGATTTTTTTTTTTGAGTATGACTTGATGTCCCCCTTTCTCCTTAATTTGTTTTGTTTCGGTACCTAGCATGGTATCTATTACCCCTCACGTTCACAGGCCTATATACAATCATTGTTGTGTTCGAGTTATATGCATGTGTTTCATCATCTTTATAAAGATGATCAACATTTATGTAGAATTTTTCACAAGTGGCTGATGTTATTTTTTGAAATGGCTAGATTATCATTTAAATGTACTTTTATTGTTATTGTTGAGTTTGATTTTTTCACGTAATAAAGTGCGTTTTCACAAAAACATGACGGACCCAAGCAGCGAAACGAGTCTATAAATAGTTGGATTCACAGTAAAGACCTGGTACACCTAGAACCAACTTGGTGCATTGGTTGGCACATAAATTTTCACTCAGAGATTCTCGACGAAAAGTTAATTAAAGTTATGTTTTTTTTGCTATTCCAAAACAAGAAACAATGAACAAGATACAAAATACCAAAATTCAGTTTATTTTCATCCAAGGTATGTATTTTGTATCTTGTGTCATTTCCATTGGATTATAACATGGATTTACGTGTAATTGGTAACATTTTTTCGTATCTTCTTACTTGTATCATGAACTCGTCATTGTCTCTCTACCCTAAAGGCAAGCGCACGAAAAAAATAATTCAATTTCCGCAAAGAATTGCGTCAACCGCATGCTCTTGCTGTTTTATTGTGAACCCAGCTTTTGAACTGGCGTTTGTATTGCAGTCCCCAGTAATATTACTGCATTTCGAAAATTGAAATCGGGAGGCGGTTACATAGGAAATTCGATAAATTTTGAAGTCATCTTCTCATTTCTCGAGGGATAATGTTTATTGAAGCCTAATATCTTAAAAATCTGTTGCCAGGTACCTAAGCATTAAATCAAATGGAATTTGGGAAAAACTTCCTCTCTCAAAACCAACTATTTAATTACGGAAAATTAGTCTATGCAGTTATATGATTAACAGTTCCTAGAATGTGGTTAACCGTTCTTTGGAAAACGGCGGGAGCATTTACCTATTCGAATGGTATACGCAAATATTCGTACTGCCCATCTAGAGTAACGAACGCCGTTTTCTGTCGTGACTTTTCAGATATGGAAATTTGGTGATACTCACTGGCCATGTCAAGAGAAGTGGAGTACCTGGCATTTGACAACATTTCTAAATGATTATCGGATCTTCTCATGGGTTAACAGTATTAATATATTTTGAGTTCATAGTTCTGTAATCAACGCGCATGCGTATTTCACCTTTTTTTTTAAATAAGAACAAGGAGGCTGGAATATGATGAATTAGTAAAATTTTTTTCGTATCTTCTTACTTGTATCATGAATTCGTCATTGTGTCTTTACCCCAAAGGCAAGCGCACGAAAAAAATAGTTCAATTTCTGTAAAGAATTGCGTCAACCGCATGCTCCCGCTGTTTTATTGTGAACCCAGCTTATGAACTGGCGTTTGTATTGCAGTCCCCAGTAATATTACTGCATTTCGAAAATTGAAATCAGGAGGCGGTTACATAGAAAATTCGATAAATTTTAAAAGTCAATTGTTGATGAAGTCATCTTCTCATATCTCAAGGGATAATGTTTATTGAAGCCTATTATCTTAAAAATCTGGTGCCAAGTACCTAACCATTAAATCAAATCGAATTCGAGGAAAACTCTCTGGCTCAAAACTAACTATTTAATTACGGAAAATTAGTCTATTTGTACTACTACTGGTGGTGGAGATCTGAAACGGAAATTTTAATTTGCGGAAAGTACTTATAAAGTTTGACCGACCGACCGCGCGGCAAAGTAGGCTGAATAAACGTATGAAATTGCTGTTTTGAACTCAGACGGATGCTCTTCGGATGCTTTTATAATTGAAACTAATTTAAATATTTGTTTTTCAAAGTACTCGGTTTGGGTAAATTCGCCATAACATAGTAGGAGCTATCCCGCAATAACTTTATTCGGATTTAATATATAATTAGTTCAGTTTTTTGATGAGTTACCAGAAGCGTAACTGTGCTTCAAAGTACTCAAAATGCTTTAATCTTATAATTCTTTTTTTTTTAGTTCATCAGATATTATTCTGATTTATTTACCTCTCAGGTGTGTTTCTAGTTAGTCAATTCAAATTGTGAGTCCATTAAATTTCTGTCACTATTTGCGATATCTTTAGAGGAAATATAAGCTCCTACAGGTTGCTTGTTTCCATCTTTCCAGCATAGATCAAAATAAATGTAGAAACAATGGTAATAGTATAATAATGTGTTTGTGGTTCCTTACATGCGAACAAACATTACATTACATGTCAACAAAAAGAACATTTAAATACCCCAAGAGCATTTATTCGATGTGGTGTTCTGTTTTCGAAATTTCTAAATCGTGTATGAAACTGGTAAGGATAGAAGTTGTCTTGTGTCGACAACACATTCATACTTTTTCTCAAATGTGCTTCTTGGATCGACACAGTGTTGTTTCTGTTCAGCATATTACGATATACAGTTTGTCATTTGAGAACTTCTTACTTTTTGTATATATTGGAAAACTTTTAACTAAAATACACGTCGACATAAGATGTGAGAGACCAAACTATTTTTCAAGACATGAACTTGCTTCTTTTTACTTCCTACTCCTTACAGACATTTTCTTAAAGTATCTATTTCGAAGGCTAAAATGCATTTTATTTTCTATAATGATATGGTTATTATTATCAAAAAGATTAGATTATATTTGTTTTAATGGAGATCGCACATAGGCTCTACCACTGCAACCTTGTCAGATTTACATGATACTGGCCACTCCATGTAGCTTGCCAGATTGGGGTTTTCCACTCCAAGCCTGAGCCCAAGCGAGCAGGATTTGATAAACTGCTTTGACAGTTCTGGAACTCTCTGTCTATCCAGTTCTTAATAGATATTTCAAAAAGGCCTGCAGAGATTCCGTAAAATTTATCTCAGTGGCTGAGCCTCCTTTGGCTAAGTCGTCGGCCTTTTCATTTCCTAGGTGTCCCTCATGACCTGGTACCGCGGTTATGGTAAGTTTTTTGGACAGGCCTACCTCTTCTTGGGCACGTATACAGTCCCCGGCCAGCTTGGAGCTGATCTTCCGGGAGCTGATTGCCTTAAGAAGGCAAATAACGATCACATTACTCTTTACTTTCCTTTCATTATTTATCAGTATGGCACAGTGTATTATTGCAGCGATTTTTGCCTGAAACACCGTGACGTTCTGTCCGAGACCTGTGGATATCTCCACCCTTGGTCTGTCTCCATAAATACCACCTCCGACCCCCTTGTTGGTCTTAGAGCCGGCAGTGTATCAGATATGGTCTACTTTAATTGGAGGACCTTCCTTCAAGTCTTTCCTGCTCGGGCGCCAAATTTGTACCGCTTCTTTTTTCTTCGCGGTTGATTTCGGAATTTTCGGGAAACTCGGGCGCCACCCTTAGGATTACAGTGGTTAAGGGCCCACGTGCTCTAGGTAGCTTTTAAACAGTGAAGACGGAAACACCAGAGGTCAATGCGCATTTTCCCCAAAATCAAACACACAATATCCAACAATCCGCGTGTTGCTAACTTCACCAAAATGATGCACCGCCACGATGATTGAATTTCACTAAGGCATTGGCCAAACCACAGCTTGTCAAACCCTGTTCAATTTAACAACACTGCTTTTTCTATCATTCCACCACGAATCCAGGAACTCTTTTCTACGGACGGACTGCATTGGTTAAGACTCCCCATCCACGGGGCGGATGACTAGACGACATATATAGAACAGTCCAATCAGGCATCCATTTTGTGGCGATCGGCGGTCTGGAAGTCACATTAAATCGGTACGGTCATTCCAATGGTCGACAAAACAAAAGAGCCTTCCGGTGAGACGGAGACGGATGATGACGTAAAATCAGTGGTCATATGCTAACGTCATGCGCAAAACGGTCCCTGCTCGGGCGCCAAATTTGTAGGGCTACTTTGGTTTTCTGCTAAGAAAGCGGTTGATTTCGGAATTTTCGGGAAACTCGGGCGCCACCCTTAGGAAACAATGTACTTTTTACTAATGCTCAAATTAATAACAATAGAAAGGAAACATGAATGTAAATAATGAATGGACTAAATTAAATAAGAGCGAGTGAGTGAGAGAGAGCACATTGCTTCTTATGAGAAAAACCGAAATAATTTTTTTCTCGATAACGGTTAGAGATAAACCTATCGAACTTTATATCGTTAAAATCAGAAAAATCATAGCTTTTCAATGAGCTATTAATATAGAGGGTGTTCTATTGAAAAAAAAAGAGACTTTGGTCAATATCTCAAAACTGGCGCCAAATAGAAAAAAACTGAGAACGTCACTGAATTCTGCTTAAAAAAGTGCTTCCAGAAAGTTTATACAAAAATCAATTATTTTCATAAACAAAAAAGTTATGAAGATTTCACAATATTGCTCAAAATCGAGAATCGCCCTCTAGCGGCTAAACGGTTGAAGATATCAAAATGCGGTTTGCACCAATCAAAATTTCATGAAATTTGAGCTGCAGAGTGGGGGATTCATTTTTTTGTATCTCCCTCAGAAATTGACGTTTCCTATTAAAAGTGTCCAAATTGGCCCACCCTGTACACGTACTAGGCCAAGTTCAGCCAATTCCAAATATTGACGAAATTTTAGACCCGTTAGGACATGCATCTTATTTCACAGTTTTGGGTCTACCCTCAGGCTTCCACCAAATCAAAATGGATCCGGAAGATGCATCAAAAACTGCTTTTTCTACGCCTAATGCACATTATGAGTTTTTACGAATGCCATTTGGTCTCAAATGTGCACCAGAAGTATTCCAAAGATTAATGAATACGGTTTTAACCGGACTTCAGGAAAATTAATGCTCTGTTTACCTCGATGATCTGTAGTCTGTCTTCGTAGATACTAGCTACGACCTCTTTGTTGGTCTTGGAGCTGTCGGTGTATCAGATGTCGTCTGCTTCAATTGGAGGACCTTCCTTCCCTATCCAGTATGTAAACCCGGTGTCTGCTGAAGATGAAAATAGACGTTGTTTTATCTGAAGGCATCTCAAACAGAGAGCTAGATCCTCCTCTATTTCCCAGCTCTATTTTCCAGCTCATGGTCCTTTGTTGATTTATGATTGAACCCTGTCCTTGCTTGAGTCTGTAGAGTACTGTCTTTACTTCACCTGTGATTATGTAAATATGTAGTGACGACAGATTTAGCAGAGCACCTCCAAGATGTGTGACATTTTACTCCAGACAACTGAGCCATATGGTATCGCATTGGTCTTATTACCTCAGCTTTTTCCCACATAGCCTTCTGTATCTTCTCAAGTGATGATACGTCATTAGGAACAACTATACTAGAATCAAATAACTCTGATGCCTGATGTGAACAAAGACACCTATATTGAGATATTATCTAGAGCTGCATTCAGACACGACCTTTATTTCTGCACGTCCAAATATTCCGGAAAAATTTAGGGCTTCAAAGAATGAATTAAAATTGGTTCAAAACATCGACAAAATTATTTTCGTGATAGTGCCCAAAGGATTGTGAGATAAGGACTTCGTTTGCATTTTTATTTTAAAATGAACTCACATATGTTGTCAATTCACTATAGTGTTTGAAAAGCTGATGAAAATCCCTTCTGTCAGGCGCACCAGGGTCCTTATTCAGTAAAAACATCATACACGAAATATGATAAAACTTCATATACAAATTATCGTATGCGAAATTTTTAGAGAATATGAACCCTGGCCTATTTACCAATCGTCTTAATTTCTGGAACATGAGAGTGTATTTATTTACCGCAGAACTTGGAAAGCAGCTTTTTACTTTTGCCCTCGTTGGCAAATCCACTCCTTCGTAGAAGTACTTGACTGCCTTCCTGGTATATGATAGGACTCCTTCATTTGGCATCGTAATATGCCTTCTCATTCGTTTGTGCAGCCAACACGGTGTTTTTGAGCATCGTTTCTCATCTCACTCACCTCCTGGCTGTTATGTTTGTTTTGCCAAATTTCGTTGATGAGAAATGCATTGCCCACTCCTCTGGGTTTGAACCCAAACAGAAGCTCGTGTGGTCTTGATTCCGAATCGTATCATATCGAAGTCGATCGTTCGATGCCACTTCCTCTCGTCATCAGCAGTCGCTGATAGGGAAGCCAGAATCGTACGATTATATCGTTCCACTTGCCCGTTGGCTCGTGGTGTCGACGTTGCATTAAGTACCACTCTTTTACCAAGCTTTTTCACAAATTCTTGGAATATCTTACTGGTGTAACACGTTCCACGATCGCATATTATTCGTCTTGGTGTTCCAAATGTTTTGAAAATTTCCTCGCAAAACTTCACTAGAGGCATCCGCCTTGGTGTTTGCAACAGCTTTAATCCAGACATACTTCGTAAATCCATCAACAGCAAGTATTAGGTAACAATTACCCTTTGAACTTTTCACAAAATGAATTGTATCCATAAGTATTGACTCCCTTCTGATGGAATGTAGATAACCTTGCTGTTTTCCTGTGAGTGTTTTGTTATACAAACATTCCAAAAAGGAAGACATGTACCGTTGTACATATTTCCGTTTTCTTGCCGTCATTTATTACTTTAAGAGCCTTTTCTGTAGCTGAGTGACCTCTTTTGTCATGGTAATATGATAGTTTTACTCGTCTTCCTCTTTTAGGCACGTACCATTTCAACCCAGATTTTTTTTAATGTTTCTAAGCCAGAATCGAAATTAAAACTTGGCACGAGAATGTCATCAAGATAAGCTAATGCAGTTATATGATTAACATTTCCTAGAATGTGATTAACCGTTCTTTGGAAAACGGCGGGAGCATTCACCAATCCGAATGGCATACGCAAATATTCGTACTGCCCATCTGGAGTAACGAACGTCGTTTTTTTTTTTGTGACTTCTCAGGTATGGGAATTTGGTGATACACACTGGCCATGTCAAGAGAAGTGAAGTACCTGGCATTTGACAACATTTCTAAATGATCATCGGGTCTTCTCATGGGACAACAGCTTTTAATACATTTTGAGTTCAAAGTTCTGTAATCAACGCACATGCGTATTTCACCATTTTTCTTTTTAACAAGAAGAATGGGGCTGGAATATGGTGAATTAGACTCTTGAATCATACCAGTATCAAGCAAATCCTTAACTACTTCTTTTACACTTTATCATTCTGAGGATGAAAGTTGTTAAGGTCTATACGTTAGAAGCTTATCACCTCTCAATTAAATATCCATATCAACGTCTTTTATGCGCCCCAATTCTTTCATATTTTGAGCAAAATAATCACGATATTGATTAAGCGTGTTGAGTAGCATTTTCATGTTGTGCTCGCCAATATTGTGATTTACTTGATCTTGGATATCATTTAAAGTGAACAATTCTAGACTAGACTGATACAAAGTGTTTATGCTTACCTGGCAATCACTGTTACCTAATGCGTCATCAGGTACACAAGGAGTTGCTCTGATAACCAATAGTTTCTCGTTAAAACTTATCGTCTCTTCTGACAAATTAAAAATTGACAGTAGCGCTGATCAGTGGAAGTAATACAATACGGAATGATATATTCACCCTGTGGCTTAAAGCACTGACGTAGGTCTACAAACATTTCACCCTTATAGTCTCCATTTGAACGGCAGCTAAGTATGCCAATGTGGTGTGGTGGTACTTTGCTGGCTTTCTTGCAAGCTAACTCAACGGTTGTCGTAGGTAGTTCGTCAACCTCAAGTAGGGAAGCCATTTCAGTACTAGAAATTCTTAGCTCTCCATCTCGCATCACGAACACGGCCCTAGTTTGATTTAAATAAGTTTTTCCAATCAAAACAGCAGACAAATATCCTTAAAAAGGTCCTCTGGGGTGGAATACTTTCCTGCTTTCGTTCCTGCTTGTATTGTGATATCATCAATGCCATCAATTATTGGAAAATGAACTAAGAAATAAAAGAACTTGTTAATTATCGATTCTCAATATATTTGTTTTATCGGGCACAGCGTGGAAAGAAGAGCGTGTGAGCTCGTAGAACTAACTATAGGAACTGACTCAACATCAAAAGACAAAGAATTACAAACCCTTTCTTAAGTAAGCAATTTCTCGTCTGTTTATCTTACATATAGTATATTATGATATAAGTGTATAAGAGGGCATTTAAAGCACGCGCGACATATTTCAAAACACGTCGCGCAGCGGAGTGTTTTGTAAGTCGCAAGGGCATTTGCTTTCCATTGTACCCAATTATAATCGTAGGAGTCAAGATGATGGTACCATGACTGAACAAACCCTTTTAATCTGGCTTGCATATGGCAAATCATAGTTGCTTCGTCCCATTTATTTATGGAAGCGAATTGCTCATCTCACCTGGGTTGAACTCAGGAATGCAATCGGCCATTATTGTCACTCGTGGCACATTTCTACTCCTATCCAGCAATTTGACTACCAGATCTTCCAAAATTTCAATGCGCTCCTTGTCTCTATTGGTAGTAGAACTGCTTCTCGTAACGTCTACGGTTCCAGCCTGTTCTACTAGAGATTCATCCCGTGATATTCAACTAGCGCTTGAAATTTTCGGAGCAGTTTCTCGATCTCTATGAGGAATATTCGCATTACTCATGTCTTTAACTATTTCCGCTTCAACGACAACACTTTTCACACGTGGCTCTCTACATACCGACTTTCTGGAAGTTCGTTTGTAGCTGAGACCGACATCTAAACTACTTGTTGAAGTTGAACTGTCACTATCACTACTGGCGCTACGCCTTTTATGCCTGCGTTTACCCATTATGACACACTATCACACTAGTTTATGTCACTTTATTTACAATATTTACAAAATTATCGCCTAATGTATCCCGCCGTTTCACTGTGAGGGATTCGAAATATCCCAAATAAAACGACGAAATAAATAATAACCAATTCAATTAATACGTGAGTTTGGACTCAAGAAATAATCGTAAGCAAAGCAAAACACAGCCAACCGATAAAAGCTAACGCGAGGACTGTTGGCAGGTAGATTTCGCATCCTGGTACCGGGTCCCTTCGTTGTTTTTCCTATATCTATTGAGAACAATAGATGTGGCGTCAGGCGAACAATAATAGACAAATTCCTCAACAAGGGTCTTTGGTACGGCTATACAGGTTCGGCTTTTGTTTTGTTTCAAATCATTCAAGCATTTCTTAATTACCATTATCAGTACAATCTTCAGTCAAATCCTGATGACTCCAAAAAAAAAATTATAAAAGAAGAAGATCCTATCGAGCCGCCATAAATTATTCACGAAAAGAAAAAAAACGAAAACAATTTACTAAAATAGATTGGGGGGCATTTCCCAAGAGTCCTTTAGCACGTTTTGCTAGATAATTTTAGTAGTCACGCAAACTACTTTAACAACGTTAATTTCGTAGACCCTTCTTGCATTCCTTTATAACTTAATTTGATTAAGATTAATCGTCGGATGAACTCTTTTCGACATTTATTTTTGCCTTTTTTTAGCAACAAGCTGCAATTATGGCGGCAGCCACTGCACAAGGTACTTATATCAATCCTATGGCTGCTATCACGCAACTACCGGCCCATACCATTAATGGAATGAATGGAATTAACGGAATTGGGAATGGAGTCGTTCCGCCGCCGACATCAGGTAAGAGAAGCTTTTCTAGTTATATTGTTTATCCTTTTATGCTCACAGACGTTATTACATAAGACAGGTTTCCTTGGAAAAATGAATTTTTCTACCGCATAAAAGCCAATACAAAGGAAAAATATATTTTCATTAAATTTAAAAGCTCCGCCTCAAGACTTTATGAAATATTCAAGAGGAACAGCTTTCTCAATGTCCATTTGTAGGCACGGATAGATCGTTGGCGGTTAGAGAAGCGCTTATGCTAGTCTTGGCTTTAATTTTTCCACGCAATTACTGTGATAAAGTGCAGTTTAGCTTGAGAAAATATATTGTTCAATTAAAAACTAGAAGAATCGGTCAGTCTTATTTTCGTGTTTAATCGATTTTAGTTAACACGAATTGCACGCGATAATCGTCCAATCTAGAAATGCCAGACTCGAAAAGTTCCAACGGGAAAACGACCAAAGTTAAATCTCCTTCAGCTTTAATCCCTCTTGTAACCTAATCCAGTCCATATTACTTAGAACGTGACTATTCTATTCCACTACGTTTTATTTAATTAAATATTTTGACAAAATAGAACGAGCAGAATTGGTTTCAACAGCATAATTAGTACGCCCTCTTGTTCAATAATCAATTAATTGGCAATTGCTTTTGTTTCAATAACAGCCAGAAACTTGTACTACTGATGTGATGTTGTCTTTTTGACGCTCTTTGTTTGATGAAACATTATTCGGAACGCTCCGCGCTACATACACTACAAGGGCGACTGCATTCGCCAACACGTCAAACAAATAAATACCTCACAGTAAACACCCGACTCCCGAAATGTTTGTATAGAGCGGGGACGCTTTAAACCGTCATTCTAAAACTGTTTGTCGGGGTGCAAAAACACTGGATTTAGTGCAAACACGGCTCGAACCTTTGATCCGCGTTATTTTCTAGTCTGGATAACAGAAAAAACCGTGGCCGATTGTTTTTTTATGTTTTGTATTTAATTGGGAAGACTGTGACCAATGTTGATTCAATGAAAATAGGTCGAAAAAAGATTCAAGTATTAAATGAAAAACCTGGAAAACAAAGCCTCTACTTTATGGTCTCATGTGGGAATGAAGTTTTTTTAAAAAAAAGCAAATTGAAAATCGCTCCGATTTACATATGGATTTAGGACAAAAGTTTTCCAATAAATAATAATATTAAACTTCCTGGTAACAATTTCTAATAAAATGGAGAAATGATCGCGTGTAAGGCTTCTTTCCATTTCGTATGATCCCTTTCTACAAGTATTGCTAACTGAGTCTTCAGATCTCTATTTCTTCTCTCTTCAGGATTGGAAGCTGGATGATACAACAATATAAGATTTTGGGTAAAACCGAGGCAGTGAGCAACTTGTTGCATGACACCTGTGACAAACTACGTGCCATTGTCACTGATGACCTTTCTGGGAGCTGCATGTCTGAGAATAACTTCATCGATAAGGCATTTCGCACAAGCTTCAGCTGTAGCATTTTCCAGTACGAAAAACTCTATCCATTTGGTGGCAGTATCTTCTATAGCGAAAGCCCACCTTTCACCAGTTTCTGCTTCAGGCAGTAGTCCAAATAAATCCATAGCTTAGGTTTCAAATCACTGAGCCAGAACAGGAATCTGAGTCAAACCAGAAGGCTTAAGATTCGTTGATTTGTATCATTGACATTCTATGCATTTTCGGATGTGTTCAGTGATGTCTTTTCTCATCGTCGGCCAGTAAAACCTTTGTGAAATTTGTTTCAAAGTTTTGTCGACGCCGTAGTGTCCTGCAAGTGGAGAATCATGGAACTTATGGAGTATAGACCTTAATCGACCTTGAGGAACAACTAATTGAGCTTCGTCAGAATCGGAGTCACTGACGTAACAGTGTAAAATCCCCTGAATCATAAAGTAGCCTCGATTGGTCCATCTGGCAAAGTCTACAGTATCATAATCAGCATTCTCGAAACAGTCGATAATACTCTTAGTGTATGGCAAGGGCTTCCCGATCAGTACAGCTATACTTCTTCTCGGCCGCAGTAAGTAAACGACTGGTATACTCTACCGGTCTTTCGTCGGGTCTCTCCCCTACAGCAAACATGCACCAATGGCATAGGCACTGGCATCAGTCTTAATAATGTATGGCTTAGAAGGATCCGCTTGACGCAAAATTGGTGCTGTAGTCAAGAGAACTTTGAGCTCCTCGAACGATTCTTTTTGTGCCGAAGCCCATGACCACGAAACATTCTTCCTTGTCAAGTTATATAGCGGTTTGGAGACATTGGCAAAGTTTGGAATGAATCTACGGATCCATGAATAAGTCTGAAGAAAACTGAGAACTTGTTTGACGTTCTCGGGTGCGGCAGGATGGGTGATAGCGGCAACATTTTCCGGATCGGTTTTGATACCATCTCGTCCAATAAGATGACCAACATTTTTTAATTCTCAAGTACAGAAAGTACATTTCTTCTTGTTTTCAACTTGTAAATGCGTAGACAGTTGAAAACATCACATAAGTCTTTGATGTGTTGTTCAAAAGTCTTGGATAAAATTATTAAGTCATCAAGGTATCCTAACATCTGGATATGCGGCAAACCTGAACAAAAACGGTTTATTAGCTTTTGAAACGTTGCTGGAGCTGTGGATAGACCAAAAGGCGTCGTCTTATATCGATAAAGTCCAAATGGCGTGACAAAGGCGGTTTTATCACGATCTTCTTCTCTGACGGGTACTTGATGATAACCACTGTTCAGGTCTAAGGTGGTTATGTAGTTAGTTTTTCCAGTTGAATGGATAAGGTCATCTATACAAGGCAACGGGTAACGAATATTCTTGGTGACAGCATTCAGTCGGCGATAATCAACACAAAGACGTGAAGTTCTTCGGTACAAGGACGACTGGAAATGTGTATGGCGATTTGCTCCTTCAATGATATCGCTGGCAGAAGTTTCTCAAGCTCCTGACGCAAAACTTCTTTCTTCGCAGGAGATAATCGATATGGTGATGCAGTTATGGGAATATCATCAGTGAGGATGATGGTATGCTCAGCATATGGGGTAACTCCTGTATTTTCATCGAACAAATCCTTGCGATGTTCCAACAGCGATTTCAATGTCCCTTCTTCAATATTGGAAACAGTCGGCAACGACAAATCATTTCCGTCAACAACAGACAAAACTGCGTTGGAATCAATAACTTTATCCTGTAATGGGGAAGGAATTGCTTGGATCATCATTGAAATAGTATATCTTCTTAGGTATATTGAGCACTATATCGAATTGTGATATGAAATCAATACCAAGTAAAGTCTTACTATCTTCGTAGTCTGAAACAGTGATCATTTGCAGTTTTCGTTGTTTATTCATAACTTCGATGGAACACTGGTACATCTTTGCTTCAACTTCTCGGGGTATACCATCAGCAAATACCAGTTTTATTGGAGCAGCTTTGAATGGATGCCGAATAGCATGTAAGTGGCTTAACAGCTTTGAACCTGCAATACTGCATCTTGCTCCGGAATCCACAAAAGCAAAACCTGATCTACTTTGAATGATGACAGGTATCATGGGTCTTAGAGGTGGACCATCAAACGTTGATAACAAACTGAAAGGTTCACCGAGATTAGCAGCGAGCATTTCGACAGATAAAATGGTTGATGGTGCAGGTTTACATTGAGGAAGATTGGGACGAATATATCCTGGATTACCGCAACCATAGCATGTTACATTTGTGGAGGACGGATTACTGGATCAGACTGTTAGGACAGAAGAAGCGGACGAGGCTTTCTCAGCAGACTTGGCTTTAAATTTTCTGCAAACAGCTTGAACATGTCCATATGCTTTGCAAAATGCACACCGCACACCGGTCCTTAAGCTTTTCTGAAACGGACGTGGAAGTCACTTTTACGTTGATTCAGCATGGCTGGATTCGATTGCTCTGCATTTGTCGATCATCTCTGAAAAGTTCTGGAAACTATGTCGAGGAGTCCAGAAACCATTTCTAACTTGTGCTCCTCTAGCAAGGGCGTGATTGTTGTCAACTTTGAAAGCAGTGCACGGGCTTGATTCACGAAAAGATCCGTTGGTCCAGTACTGCCTTGTTCTCGAGAAAACAGCTCTCTATAAATCTGATGTACTGGTTTATCAAAGCCAAAAGCATGACGTAGCGCATCTAAAACTTCAGACCAACTTGCCACCATACTGCAGCAGCGCCATCTAGTAGCATGGGTAAACCTTTCACAGCGTTATCATCACTGATGTTCAGACAGTCTTTGTAAATAGTGATTGCATCAATAAAAGCTTTAGCATCTTCGTCTGGCTTTCCGGAAAACCTTGAGCCGCATTTAGAAAAATTCGCAGCTGTACTTTGGTTCGAAGTAGATTGTGGCGTATTCTGGAACATATCTCTAATACCAGCGAGTAATGTTTGTAATTGTTGATTCGTCAGAACAACAGGGTCACCCATTTAGTCTCGATTTTTTTGGGATGATCGAAGATTATAAGGCATCAACAGGAAAATCCAGCTTGGAGTAAGCTAAGCGATGGAAATGTAGTGTTGAGAAACAGCAAACTCGGGTAAATCCTGACAAATAGACGACTGTAATGTAGGAACCCTTCGAACAAACTTGGACGGACACACAGGAAACTGTAATGTGGGTACAAAATGGAAGACAAACTTGGACACACAGAAAACTGTAATGGCGGCACAAAAATGGAGGACAAACTTGGACACACATGAAACTATAATGTCGGTTTGTGTGAAATATTCCAGAAATTGTGGGAATGTGGTAAAATCTACATAATTCAGTCAACTAATGCACATGTACACCGATAATGTCTTGCGTTTTTTTAGTTCATTGATCTACAGTTATAAAATTAGACCAGAAAGTCATTGGGTTGGTGGTTCACTACAAAACCCCAGGCCCCACGTTGGGCGCCAAATATGTAGCGGGTATCTAAGGGAACTCCAACACTATGCACTACACATTGTTTTTCAATGTTTTTATTTAACAATTTAACTGGAAAAAATACAAAGTCGGCAAAATAATAGCAACAATACTGATAATCAGACTCATACTTACAGGATCATCGTCGTTCATTCAATATAGGCCTGAAATTGTTATTCCTTCCAAACATAAATGTATTCAGTTTTATTATTGCTTCATTTACTCCTTCTCATAATGTTATGGTCATAGGTGCCCTAAGTACCTTTTTTTTTTGTTGAGATTTTGTGTCCCAATGGTCCTTTGGCCAAAACCAAATGCTGAAAAATGCATAGTGTGATTCAACTTACCAATTAAACAATAAAATGGTCCCCGAAAATGAAATTAAAGTTGATCAAATTGAATATCTCTGATGGGATATCTTCGAAATTGACTACCCCAAAATTAACGAACTTACTGTGAATGAGAAACACCATCTTCTCAACCTCTCCGATCTCCTGAATGATCTTAGAAAATGTCAAAACTTCATGACCCCTTGACTATTGAAAAGAGACCATTTCCGAGTAGAAAATGGCCCCTACCTACCTAATTTGTTCGAATTCCCTTTGGACTAAAAAAATGCGCCATCTACATTTCAGAGAGTCATGGACAATAATATTCTCCTTGGCATTGCATACAAAATGGTTTGGTTTACATGGACGATAGCATCGTGTACTCATGATCAAAGGAAATCTCGCATTTTGTCATTTAAAGATGTGTTTCCGCCGCCAACGATGGTTACAATTAGACTACAATCAAACTCTAGATAAGGCAGTTGCAACCTTGCAACCATGTTGCAACCATGAGACACAATACTATTGAGAATAATTAACTTGTCATTACGTTTGTGTGTTATTTTTCCATTCAATGGATAATTATCAACTGAATTTACCAACATAAATTGAGCTTTTGATGCTCTCTTACTAGAAACACAAGCTTTTAACGTAGTGCTCAACAGGTTCTCAAGAAAAAGCCACCACAGGAATGCTCATGTATGTAAAAATAAACCACTCTTGAACTCCTTGAACATAACGTTTCCGGCATTTCGAATTCTTTTGGTTTGAAGGGTCGAGAATTATTGCATTTTTTTTTTGTATTGAATCCTCTCCACTCTCTTATTTGCCATAACTTATCCGTAAGAAAGAAACTCGCAACAATAAATTTTTATGCATACAATTTTAGAGAGCTTGTCTTGTACAGAGCGAACGTTTTAAAATAAATGTTTGCTTTGTCTATAAACCGCATGGAATTATAAATCATACTCAAGGCATCCCCGGGGCTGCATTTACATAAAATTCCAACAAAATATACAGAAAGTGTTTTGTTTGGGAAATATAATCCACCGAGAATAAATCTCTAGGAGGAAGTTTTAAGTACTGGATAGAATACGTATGTACATAATAAAATTGGCAAATTGTTTTTATTTTTCAGCCCCGGAATACGCGGACGTTCAAGTAGGACCACCGGTAGATAGGAACGGGCAACCGGTAAACGGTGCCATTCCTAGTCTACCATCGCCCACCATGCCCACCTTCAATATGGCGGCTCAAACGCCCAACGGACCACAAGTTAATGGTCAAGAACCTGTTTATACAAATGGAATCCCTCCACAAACCTTTCCACCTCGTACGTATTTTTTTTTTCTGATAAAGTAACTTTGAAGGCAATTGATACCTCAGAAATAAGACCACTGATTTGCACTGTTTGTGGTTCTTGGTTTTGTATTTCAAGCCACCCCATCTCCATCTCATTATGGATTTACTCGAATTGTTCACTTTCGGCGTAACAATTCTGAAATTTTCTAGCACTCAGAATATTATGTTACCTTTTATTCCATTTACACTGTGAATATATGAAGCAGGGATTATACACAAGTTTAAAGTTTATATGAAAATATTTTTTTTTTAAATGTGAAAAACTTGATACTTAACCCAGTTGTCGAATCTTGACTGCACTGTTTGGAGTACTGGTGTCAGTACGGAGTATTTTTTCTGGCCAATAATAATATTTTCTTTCAAATGACAGAGAGATAAAAAGATTAGTACGTAGATAAATACGAATTTATTTTTCTTTGTCCCTTATACGCCCATTTCTATAGCGAACAAGTTACCGCTCTTCATTTTGGTGTTTTTCTAATAGAATCACCATGAATATCATTAATACATGATATCTTCATTACCTACCTATTAGTTGAACTTCTCACTCTCTGTTTAACATTTAAAGAACAATGTAAAAACATAAATTATTGTTACCTGGGATGTATTGAAATTTGTTTTTTTCACAGACGCACTCCATCTGTCCATTCCAGCCCAAGGACTGTCCAACGGTGAGGCAGCTATCCAGCATCCTGCAGCATATCAAGCGATGCAACCGGCTGGATTTGGAGTCAGTGGTGTCGGTGAGTTTCGATGTTTCAACAAATTTGTCCAAGAAACGGGGCTTAAGTGGGCTTGACATAAATGTTAATAAATGGGTAGTTATAACGCACATATGGGCAAAGTAGATATTAGTTGAATATTTTGCTTGGTTTATTGGTTAGGGATGGTCTATCGAAAAGGATACGTTTCGAGATTTTGTTTTGATGGACTGTGCTCTAAGTGCAAGTAAATTAATTTATAAATAAATGCTTATCATACCATTTTCAATTGAGGAAATTGTTGGGCAATTAAACGCTTTGGCGCAGCACGTATCTCTATTGATAAAATATTGTATGAATCTGAGCAGAAAGTATTAACATTTTTGACTCACATGAGAAGAAGCTACTCATTTCCGAATTGGATTTAATATTTCAATTTTAAATATAGCCAATTAATCTTCTACTACATACTAAGTGAAGTTTTAATGTATTAGAAAATTGTTCATCGTTGCTGCGCTAATGCGTTTAATGTCCGGGCAAAATATGATTAATGTCACATGTATAAGTAAATGTATCCAAACATTAAGCATGTCGTGTTGCATCGATAATGTTATGGGTGTGATTTTTGTGTTATTTGTCCAGCAGCTTACCCCGCCGTTTATGGCCAATTCCCCCAAGCGATTCCGCAGCCCGTGTCAGCGATGGCGCCCGCCCAAAGAGAAGGTAAGCATTCGTCAGTCATCACTAATTTATCAATCGATATCCTAATTTATTTCAAGGTTATTTATTTTTGATGGGTGATTCGATGGAAATTAAACATGTAAGAATTATTACAGGGAATCTAGTATTTTTGATGAATGCATCAAAATTATCCAGTCTCAAGTGCAAGTGTAAAACTGCTTGAAATTACAAAAACATAATTATCCAATATCACTAGAACTCTTTATGTCAGCCAAAAGAAAATGAATAAAATTTTCTTTAAAAGAAACGGCAGCCCCACGTTGGGCGCCAATTAATTTGCCACGCTTTTTCGCTGATTAAAAAGTTTAGAGGGAAAAAGAATAAAAAAAAAAATAATAAAAATATAAATAAGAAAATAAAATTTAAAAAAAAAAAAAAAAAAAAATTTATGAAGAACTTGAGATTTAGGACAGAAGGTCGAAATGCGTGCAAATTATGCCCTAGCCCAGATTTAAACAATTCGAAAAGTAGGGGTGAGTTTTAGTTTTGGGCGCCACCGACTCTAGACAGATGAGTCGGACTCTCCAGGATGTTACACTGACGTAACCAGAACTACCAGTAAGTTGACATAAATAACAACTGAATCAGGTTATGACTAACTAAATTACCTATATTAATAATTTATTCCCACATTGGGACAAGCACTGAATTACCTCCTGAAATACCGTAGTGATCACTGTGGCGTACACAATAGGGACAGAATGTAAATAAACAATAAAATATAGATAGGTTAATTAAAGCTAGTACGATACCAGGTTCCAGGTGGTAGATACAATTAACCAAATTAGTCCTGGCTACTGATGGTCAAACCAATCTTACGGTTTAAATTTACGGTCCGGAAGACTTGTATAACCGTCCAAATAAGAGGCGTAGGCTCTGGTAGCAACAGCCTCGGTTACGATTGAACGTGTACTGTAACCGTGAGTAAAAAACTCGGTGATAAAAACCCTAAGAGAAAAACTGTTATAACACACTGTATTTGTGATTGAACCATAACTATAGTGAAGCACTTATGAATAGGCAGAACTAGAAAATGAAATTAAGATGTAACTTAATTAGTCTCAAATAGCAAATTTACTTGATAAAAAAAAAACTATACCTAGAATAGCTTTGCCAAATGTTCCAATCATAATGGTTGAGGGCCAAATTTGACCTACCTAAATTTGGAATGTAGAGCATAATCCGGTTTCTCCGCGCTATTATCCTAATGAACAATGTCAAATAAAATTCGATAAAAAATGAGACGATTCTTTCGCAAACACCAGTTATATTCAAGCAGAAATTCCTAGAAGTGATTAGGCAATTACAGAAGGATTAAAATGATATTGTATAAGGAGGCCCCGAAGTCAATGAGGTTGGTTGAGTATTCAACAAGTTGTTAATCGGACAGATTCAACTCTATAGTTAGGGAGCAAATGGCAAAATGCGCTCGACCGAACAACGAGATAGGTGGATAAAGCTTAAATATCGTCCCAACAAATCCACCATATCTGGATATCTATTCTCGAAACCGAGAAAGATGGTTCTCATGAGAACAATTGCTTTCTCTTCATCAGTGTTATGGAAGTATGAATATGGGTGTCGAAGACAGAACCTTTGCTCTCAGGAGAACGCTGCACCCTTGTTTCGAGAATAAGAACCCTCTGGGGGTAACACTCGACTGAAAACTTATTTGGAATAACCATTTGGAAAACTCCGCCCAGTCTGCTAGAACTTTCTAAAAGAAAAGAAAGAAAAGTTTTTGAAGAGAGGAAGGAATTTTCTCCGCTCTTTACTTAATAATAATGTACAACTACTAACTAAGAAAAAGAAATGCCAAAAAATCGGAGCAAACGTGGTGCCAAGGCAACAAAACCCACAAAACAAGGCTGATATCAGAAAACTTATTATGCAATTTGATAATAGAAGAAAATTGCGTTTTTTTTTTTGAAGATTTGGCAATCTTGCCACGCTTCTTTGGTGATGAAAATTAAAAAAAAAAATACTAATGAAGATACTTGAGATCGCAGGACTGGAAGTCGAAGTGCATTGCAAATAAGGCTCTAACTCAGGATTAAACGATTCGGAGAGAGATGGGTTTATTTTTGAGCCCCACCGACTCAGGACAGATGAGTCGGACTCTCCAGGATTTTATCTGGCTCAGATAATGCTTCAATAGAAAAGAAAATAAGCCTCGAGTTTGCAAAGAAAATTTAAGGTTGGTAGATTATGTCTCACCTGTTGGAATAGGGTTTTATTTGCCACAGAAAAACATCTGCTGGATTAGTCTGGACTCAAGATCCTGGATAGAATATGGTGGTTTCTAGGGCAGATTTTCACTATTGATCAAATAGAAAAAGGCAGAATCCTCTGTGGGAAAAAACGTGCAAAGCAAAACTTACCGAAATGGTTTTTGAAAATCCGAAATCATCGGCGAAATTATGGCACTTTACGAAAACGTAACGCAACGTCAGGTAACTCAATGTACCATAAATTCAATTACCGAGAAAATTAGGTCCAAAATCCCCTTTAGGGCGAAGACACAATTGAATTCTTCAACAGAGACCCTTTTCTCGGAACAACAAAATCGTAAAAGGAAGATTCACCACAAGTAATTATTTAGCTGATGAGTGGGTTTTCGGGTTGTTTGGCTGTCGTCGTTGGAGATTGGTTCTCGACGTTTCGATGATCTTCAACTAGCCCAAATTAACATAACTACTATCTTCGCTGGCTTACCTATCACGCTGACGTGACGGAGGAGTCACACCGAGATACTTGAAACTCAAACCGACAATAAGAACATCACAAGCCCAGAGAATTTACAGAAGAACCAAAGCGGCCCTACTAAGAGAACGAATTCATACAAGATCGCAACTTGCACACAAAGACAAGGAACTGCTCTCAATTTTCTACACTCTAGCCAACAGCATGCACAGAACAAATTGTACGGGACAAAATCGATTCAATCTCTTAAAAACCCATGAAGAGCGAACACCAGAAAAGTGCAGAGAGACAAAAGAACAAATACCAGAAGCTGGAAAACCACCAGAGTAAATCAAATATCTAACAAACCTCGCTGGATACAACAAAAACTGTCATCAATATGTCTGACCGTCCTTTGTCGGAAGATGAAGTCTCGATACTTTCCAAGGAGGGAAATTTTGCCATAACACCCAAAGAAGTTCCTGAGGAAAAAAAAATGCTAATTTAGGGTCTGTTATCAGAAGATTGCCCGAACAGCAGGCCGAGGAAATACGATTATGAGGAAAGTAAAACCTCCAAAATCCAACATTACAAGGAAGGAAGCCCGTGCTATCAAAGAGCTTAACAAAGACGAGAACATTCTAATATTAGCCGCAGACAAAGGAAACGCGACTATAGTTATGAACAAAACTGACTATAACAGAAAGATGGCCGAACTTCTAGAACCCTCAACTTGCAAAAAGCTGAGAAGAGATCCAACATGATCCGCAAACAAAAAAGTAAACCACCTGATTAAGATTTCTTCTTGGAGGAACCAATCAAGAAGAGCATACGCTAAAGTGAAGCCTCAATACCAAGATTATACTCTTCGTCCCATTGTCAGTATCATAGGCTCACCGACATACACCCTCGTAAAACATCTGGCCACGATCTTGCAAACGCACATCGGACTAACGGATTCGTATATAAAGGACTTCACTCACTTCATCTAGTAAGCTTTTATGTTGTCTCCCTCTTCACCAAAGTACCAATGTGTGAAGCAATGCGTGAGGTCGAGCATATATTTCTCAAGGACATCGCTGACCTGTTTAAGATTTGCCTTACGACATCGTATTTCACCTTCAACAACGAAATATATGAACAGATCGACGGTGTATCAATGGGAAGTCCGCTATCACCAGTAATCACGAACTTCTTTATGGAAAAACTAGAAAAGAAAGCCTTGGACAGCGCACGTTTAAAACCAAAAGCCTGGTATCGATATGTGGATGACACTCTTGTAGTTTGGCCCTATGGTATAGATAGCCTGAACGATTTCCTAGCTCATATTAACAGCATACACCCCAGTATCCAATTTACCATGGAACTACACCATTTCAACCTCAATTTCCGAAAAAGTAACTTTTATTTAGGAAAATGTAAAGTCAATTCGGAAAAAGTCAAATCAATTCCAGAAAAAGTAGAGTTAATTTCAAAAAAGGTAAATTCAAATTCGGAAAAAGTAAATTCAAATTCGGCAAAATTAAATTCAAATTCGGAAAAAAATACATTCAATTACGGAGAAAGTAATGTTATTTTTCATAGAATAGGTATTTTGAATTGATTGAGTCCTTTATCTA